TGTTTATCGGGAAGCTGCCATTTCCTTTTTAGGCAAGAGTTAGGAGAACACAACATACAGAGTTTGTTTTTCTGGACCAGTCATTTGGCACACACCCAGTTAACATTATTATAGTCCGTAAAATATACCTAAACCTCCTTGCTGCAATAATAGGTTTACCAAACAGGGCACAGCCTGCAATAGGTTGTATTTCTTAACAAAATTTATTGTATATTACTGAAAAACAATTTTTTCATTTGTTTGTTTAGGATTTTCCATGCTGAACAGATTGAGTTGAAAACACTGTATAGACAGACAATGATGATGAAAAAAGATTGATTGATATACCTGTGGTGGTGGTGGGGGAGGGGAAGGGCATATACATTTCATCCCTACCCATGTACCTATTGTTAGATTTTGTTTTGTCGTTGGAATTAAGAAAAAACCTGAGCCCAGTGATAAATATGAGATGTCAACACAAACGATATGATGCTGAAATGATGGCTAAAGTGTAGTAATTTCTGCCCTGAAGATGTCCCTGAAGGCTGGTTATATCAGAATCAATTTTATCTTAATGCCTTCTCAGATATTCATCAGGACAGTAACTGTCAATTTTGCACTGACCCAATAACGTCATCACTTGCTTTGCACAGCACTTATAACAGTGCATCGTACCAATTTATATCTGTTCCATTAACGTTTACGGTTCCCATTTTGTGAAATACTGTCTCAGAGTGACAAATCAAGCGAAATGGACTTGTAAAATTGCTCGGAGGTAATAGCTTCTCTTGGCGTGCATTAAGCTACGTGACTGTTGATTATCTTCCCTTCCTAATGGTATTGCAGGCAGCATTAGTGCTGCATTGTGATATCGACAGCAATTTTAACAGACATCAATCCTGCTTGCTGCACTCATTGTTCTTTACAGGTATTTAGAGCTGTCGGATATTTCTTGTTTTATCCAGTATTATATCCATAACAGACTTGAATCCAGCAACAGACTTGAAATGAGGTGACCTTTGTACCATTCACTTCAAGCCTGCAAGGAGGCCATTTTAACCCCCAATTTGACCTTCGTGTCAATCTGCAGCTACGCCTGCCAAATGGATGCCATTGTTGTTCTGTTTGTGATTGACACAGGTAGCAACTGTGATGCAATTTTTATTGTATCCATGTCCCTACTTCTAGGCTTGAAGTCAATTAGGAGATGAGACAGGCTAGAACTGCCAGTTAAGTATTTCATGATATACAGAACCCATTTATCCATGGTGTATCTTAATAAAAAATTGAGAACCATTTATGCTGCTGTGCTATATAATTGGACAGTCCATACTCAGGGACAAAAGCTTAGTTATACTGTAAATCTTTAAATGTTCGCTATGGAGTCTCCACTTTGAGAAATGGACACACAAGCAAATACCCGAACAGACCCATGGAAAACAAAACCTCCATACACGGAGGTAACTAGGTTTCCTTCTGTAATAAACACAGTATTAGTAGCCCATGGAGCAACCTCTGACAGCTCCCACTGATACAGCTGCCTGCATGCTAGCAGAAACTGCAGGTAATCATTCGTTCGGTAGAAACACTTCCAGGTTATAAACTTTTTCCTTCATTGACGTTCACATTGATCAATGTCACTCCACTGACAGCGGGAAGTACGTTTGTGTAGAAACTGAAATAGTCCTGCGACAAAGTAAGCCCCTTTAAGAATTAGTTACGGGAGGAAGCCATCTGTTGTTTGCAGGGGATTACAGCGAGATTGCCTTGTTGTCAGGTACTGATTGTGTGTCCCGCCCTCCCTTTAGTTTTCAGACGTGACTAGAAATGGGAAAAGGAGATAAGTTGTACAATACAGTAAACTAGATAGGAGGGACGGATGCCTTTCTCTTGGTTTACAAAATGTATGTCAGCCCCTATACATTTAAGTTCCCAAACTGTAACAAGGGAATATTTTCAATTCATAAATACGAGACTGGTAGATTTTTGAGTCATTAATAGTCTTTGAAAAAAACAAAAAAAACAATTGTCATGCAATTGCCAAGTGACTAGCCCTCGTCCTTGTTTTCCTACTTGTACCAGCCCACCTTGTATGAGGTTTGAGCTGGTTTGAGAATGCTGTCCATATGATATTAGATTATGTCTGCAATGTTTGGTAAGGTTGTAAACGTGTGACAGGCTCACTGTTCTGTGATTAATGTTACAGTAGATATTCCATTTACTTCACACCATCCCACACAGCAGAGTACAACCAGCTGGGAATGTCTGAAATATTTGTTCAGTAATGGCTTCTTGTTGCACAATCATGATGCATTGATCCTAAAGGTGGTTTACCGGTTACGCTAAAGAAACATCTGTCATCCTGGGTGAAAATTCAGGTTGCAGATTATATTTCTCAAAGTAGTTTTCATAGCTACATTATTATGATGACATCCTTTAAATATTAAAGCTCAGGTTGTAGAGAATCTTTCTTCAGCTCTGAAAAGATCCTTAAACGTTGGAGTCACACTAGCCGTGGACGACTCTGGTACACCTTTTTGCATGATAATGCCGGTGACAGAGTCGTGGAAAGCACCATAGGCCAAAACCAACCTTTGCCGTGCCGGGCCTCATGCAACGGGCCGGCCCCGGTTTTTTGGTGTCGCTGGCTTCCTAACGCACTCACCTGCCGGGCCGGGGGGATAAGACCCTAAACAAACGCAGCATTTAACCACAACACGGCCTCGGAGCACGTAACTCCATACAAATCATCGGCGATCGACGCCATATTGAATTCAGGAGTCGTTCCGCAAAACAGGCCGGGCCCTGAGTTTACGACAGTTATTTTCAACTCTCCAACGTTCAAGCTGCAGGTATGTGATGTAATCTGTCGTAAACTCAGGGCCCGGCCTGTTTTGCGGACCGAGTCCTGAATTGAATATGGCGTCGATCACCGATGATTTGTATGGAGTTACGTGCTCCGAGGCCGTGTTGTGGTTAAATGCTGCGTTTGTTTAGGGTCTTATCCCCCCGGCCCGGCAGGTGAGTGCGTTAGGAAGCCAGCGACACCAAAAAACCGGGGCCGGCCCGTTGCATGAGGCCCGGCACGGCAAAGGTTGGTTTTGGCCTATGGTGCTTTCCACGACTCTGTCACCAGCATTATCATGCAAAAAGGTGTACCAGAGTCGTCCACGGCTAGAGTCACACATGACATGTCAATGAGTGTGTTGTAGAAGGGGGTCTCTTGGTCATAGTTAAAGGATGGGGAGAGAGATCTGATGTGTACTGCTTCTTTTTTTTAATCCCGTCACTCAAACCATCAGCTCCCTATGTTTCTAAATTGTATATCCAGTGTTCTACCATGCTGCCATTACTGTTGAACCTGATTCAAAAACTTCATACTTGCATGTCTTACTGTCAAAGCAGCCTTTTGTCTCAATCAAGCCCCCCCCTCCCCTTCAAGGAAAAATGACGAATTGAAATGTCTGTGGGATTAGTTATGACACACCTGTATGTGTTCATTTCCAGGGAAGAGCTGCACAACTGCTGTTCCACCCAAGATGATTTCATTCTGACCCAAAAGAACACAAAAATAGGGATGACCATCCGCTATGCCATAACCAAGGGCAAAACCTTCAAGGTCAACTCTGCACTCACCAGACTGTTGCCAAAGGTGGGACTACAGCATGGATGATTAACAATTAATACTACATTGTAGTAGACCATATATTTTTAACTTGAGCATGTTGAAGTTACTTTTGGTCACGACTTTATTTTGAAGGTATGTTTTGTACTATATATTTTGTAAAAGCATGTACATGTATATGTAGGATATATGTATACAGACTTTCAACATTTTGTCTGAACCTGACCTGGTCCCTCATGATATCAATGAAAACTGACCAACAGGCTGATTTGAGTATTTCATGAATAAACAAAGACTCACAGTCAAACAAACAGTTATTCTAGAGGAAGTATGAGTTATCTGAATATGTTGCACTGTGTTTATGATATTTAATAGGAAGTTGAAATTTGAAAAAAAAAAGATACTATCACACAAAAAAAGACACACATTGTATAAAGTTAACATGATATTTTTTCACAGACCTCTCCTTTGTCTGGGAGGAGGTTCTCCCGTTGCAGTGTTGTGGGGAATGGAGCCATCTTGTCTCAGAGCGGATGTGGGCAGGAGATTGACAAGGCAGATTATGTCTTCAGGTAAAGTCCTTTGTTTTGTCTTTCACGGCCTAATATTACAAGTTCCCTTGTAAGGATTGACACACTTCTTAAAATGAATGCAAACAACTGTTCCCTTTTCATTTTTAAATTGAAACAACAAAAGATGTGGAATTATCTGCATTACAATGACACATACAAAAATAGGACAAGTGCATCTTCCTTTTTTACAATGTTTTGCTGAATCATATTTGTCATATTTTAGAACAGTCATATTTTAGAACAGTACTATGCCTGTGTTAACTATTATTGTGTTGGACTTGTCTCGATCAGCATATGCATGATGCTTTGTATCATGTTGTTTACACAACACTTCAATTCTGTTTTTCATTAGGTGCAATTTACCTCCTATTGGAGGCAAGTATGCTGAGGACACAGGGTTAAGGACCAATTTTACCACTGCTAACCCACTATCTCAAATA